GGTGCGCCTCAGCCTCGTGCGCCTCGGGGAGCCGGACAACGCCGGGGCCGGGGAACCGCCCGCCACGCCCGCGGGTCTGGGGGCCGGAGGAGACCGCGTCTGCTTCAACTTGGGCCGCGAGCTCTATTTCTACCCGGGCTGTTGCCGCCGCGGGAGCCAACGGGTGAGCGGCCTGCATTGCGGGCGGCCTGGGTGCTGGACGATGGGGGTCCCTAGGTGATCCAGAAGTGGTAGGAGGCCCGAATTGATCTGGGGCCCCGAGGTAGGCATCCTAGATGTGATGGACTTGCCAGGGGAAAAGGGTTCTAGGAGGTAATGCATAATTTTAAAAGGTGATGGGAGGTTTTCTGGAGCTGGACATTATGGAAATGATGGGAAACCGTGGGGTCATGTGGGATCCCCGGATTATTGGGAGGGGCTGGTGAGTATTCTGGAGTGATGGAGAATCCGAGATGATGTAGATCCTCCTGGCTTCTGGGTGGCAGGCATCCTGCAGGTGATGGGGAGTCCTGAGGTGATGCAGAACCCAGGGGTATTGCAGTCTGTGGAGGTGTTAGGAGGGGGTCTCGAGACTTTGGGCAGCCAAAGGTCAGGATTCTGGAAGTGATGGGGGCTTAGAGGTAATAGCGATCCCAGAGAAAATTACGGTTCTGGAGTAATGAGAGTCCTGGAGGAAATGAGAGTCTCTGAGCTGATGGGAGATCTGGAGGTGATGAGGGCCTGTAGGGGACATCCTCAGGTGTCTCTACATTTATCTAGGTGCCAGAGGGAATGAGACCCCTGGAGTTTATGGTGGTCCCCAGAAGTGACGGGGATCTTGAGAGCCCAGAGGGGATGGAGGTACCTAAATGTGGGGAACCATGAGGTTTAATGAACTGTGCTGGGGGCCCTGAGATTTAAGGTCTCCAAAGTGAAGGGACTCCTGAGATAGGCTTTAGAATCTTGGGGATTTGGGTGACTCTGAGTTTGGAGGGGCTTGGACTGTTGTGGTGCTAAAACCCAGGGGAATTGGCTGAGGTTATGGGGCAGGACTGGAAAGCAATCAGAGCTCAGGGACTTTGGGACCCCCAAACCCTGATGCTGTGAGTGAGGGTGTCCCTGAAGTTGGAAGGGTTCAACTTTGGGGAGGCACTGTGGTTTTATGCCCAGGGCAGGGGGATCCTTCCTGTCTGTTTTTTTCCTCTACTCTAAGATTTGAGTCCCTCTTCCTGTCTGCGGTTGCTCCTTCCCTCCCCACTCACCCATCTACCTACCCACTTCCCTCAGGGGTTTCCCCCTGCTTCCTCTTAGTGGTTTCCCCCAACCTCAGCACCCTCTTCCTTCCCCAGTGGTAGAAGCCATTAACTCATTTTCTCCCACTGCTTAAGTCCATTGACCTCAACAAGCCGATTGACAAGCGGATCTATAAGGGCACCCAGCCCACCTGCCACGACTTCAACCAGTTCACTGCTGCCACAGAGACCATCTCCCTGCTGGTGGGGTTCTCAGCCGGCCAGGTGCAGTACCTGGATCTCATCAAGAAGGACACCAGCAAGCTGTTCAATGAAGAGGTGATTGTGAGCCCTTAGGGCCCCCCCCCATACACTGTTTGCCTTTAGACTGCAGCTCCCTGGACAGTAGTGTAGGCCTGAGAGGGACAGGATGAGGGAGAGAAGGGGGGTGGAACTGATAGCTATGTGGGATGGGTGACAGACAGCAGCTAGTGTGATAACAGCTAATAATGACACTGGCGCCTACTGTGCCCAGCCCTGTGCTTTGTTAGCCATATGCTAAACACATTACTCCTGGAGTTTTCATCAACCAATGGGTTAGGGATTGAGAGGCCCATTTTGCACATTAGAGAACTGAGGCTAGTAACTGGTTTGAAGTCAAAGCCCTCGGTCTTCTAATTCTGGGCCCTGTGGGCATTGGATTCAGATCCTTGCTGCATCACATTTACTCACCGTGTGGCTTTGGGAAGGTGACAGTGCCTCCCTGAGCCTCAGTTTTCCTCCTCTTCAAAATGGGGTTTTCAGCCTTACTTCACAGGACTGTTGTAAAATTATGCATGAGATTGCTTAGTCCTGGGTGGATTTGGCACAGGGGAAATGCCACTGAGCAGCCTTATCTGTGTGCAGGGACTACTCGTGCCCTGTGTCTCTTTCCCTTTGTTCAGAGGTGGTGTTCCATCTGCACAGAATTGCATGAATGGCAGAAGGGAGCGGTGGAACAGTGAATGGAGTAAAAATGTACTACCTCACACACTGACAGAATATTTATTGAGCATTCATTCTGTGGCAGGCACGGTCTCAGCACCCGGGATGTCTCATTTCGGTGAACAAAACGGGGGGCCCATTTTGTGGAGCTTTCATCTAGCTAGGGAGGTGGGCAGTTATCAAATAAGTGAAGTGTGCTGGCCGCCAGAGGTGCTGAGTGCTGTGGAGAACAGCCTGGCAGGGAAGGGGCACGAGGGGTGCTTGGAGAGGTGTGAATAGGGTAATCAGGAAGGGCCTCGCTGAGAGGTGACATTGAAACAGACATGAAGGGGGTAAGAAGAGTTATCGGGGAGGGACATTCTGAGTAGAGGGAGCAGCCAGGACAGAAGCCCCGAAGCAGGACCTGGACAGAGCAGTTACTGAGGGGCAGGTGGTAGGTGAGTTCTGAGAAATCATTTGAGGGGCCAGGTCACGTAAGGGCTGGAAGACCGTGGAACAGACTTGGGGTTGTTTTTTTTTAAAGTACAATTTTTATTTTTATTTATTTATTTATTTTTTAATATATCTTTATTGATTTCAGAGAGAGGAAAGGAGAGGGAGAGAGAGAGACAGAAACATCAATGATGAGAGAGTCATTGATCAAGCCCGCAACCAGGCATGTGCCCTGACCGGGAATCGAACCCCGATCGCCTGGATCCTAGGTCGATACTCAAGCGCTGAGCCGGGCCGGGCCAGACTTGGGCTTTTATAGCCTCTTTCCCTTGGGGTTCCTCTGAGCCAT